TTGTGTTTTAAAAATTTTTTTATTAAATATAAGAATAATACAAAAAAAAAAAGGTAAATTATAAAAGTCGCCAGTGATCAATAGTGATGTTCGACGATCGCCGGTAGTAAACAGTGATTGATAGTAATGTCTACCAATGATTAATGTTCAAAAAAAAATTTTCGCTCTTGAAAATAAGAAGTTATATTCCTTAAAAATATTTTAACATTCACTTATTTCTTGAACACTTTAAATAACAAAAAATTGAAAATAATATTTTTCTGTAAAATATTTTACAGAAATAACCCGAGCATTAACTTGGAGATTGTCAAATCTCTTTTTCTCCGCACTCTCCACTTAGAATTCAAGTGGGTTTTGGATGAGCAAGGAATTATTAAACGACAAACTTTTCTACTTTTCCTTTTATTGATCATTAGAAGAATTTATTGTTTATTCAAAGTGTTTCTTTTATTTAGTTTCTGGTTAAACATAATAGTTTATTGAAACATTGATTCTATAGTTAGCTTGGACTAATTAAAAAATGTTTCTAATTTTTAAAATAATATTTATAATTTATACCACGAAAGTCATTTTCTTTTAAAATTAAATAAATTACAATTAACAAAAAAATTCTTATAATTTTTAAACTTATTAAATATTATTAACCCACGACATATAAAAACATAAAAATTTTGTCACAATTTTAATTTGTTACATGCAATTATTCCATTTTTTATCTTAATTTTTGTAGTCTTTTCATGTTTTTTCCTTATATATAAAAACATGTAATTAAATAAAATTAAAATAAAATATAAAAATTAAAGAATATTTGAATTTTAAATAAAATTAAAAATAAAATATAAAAACATGTAATTATGTATTAAAATTAAAAAAATTGTAAAACATGAAATAAAGAATAAATATTTAAAATTTATATTGTTAAATTAAATTTTAATTTTTCATTAAGAATTATTTATATTTTTAGAGTAGTACTAAAATCTTGAATAATATAAAATAATTATCTTCAAAGATTACGTATTAAAATTCAATGCACGAAAGGTAATCGAAATATTAATTTAAACTCACAACATAAATCTCCATAATTTATTAACAAATTAAATATATATTTTAAATTTTTATTAGAAATTTCGGATTTCATAAGAATATTGCTAAAATTTATACAATATAAAATAATTATTTTCAAATATCAGGCATTGATATTCAATATACTAAAATGTTTTGGGTAGAAATATATTTCTAAATTTTTTAGCCTTATTTTCACTCGTCATCCTTGAACTGTAGCCACTATTACAATATTGTCCCTCGAATTCAATTTTAACGAATCCCTTAATTTCAATTTCAATTTGTGTAACATAAAAATACCTTTGTTCGTTTTTCCTACATTTCGTTCACCAGAATGCTACATGGCAGCACATGTGGGTTATTTTAATAATTATTTTTACACCTAAACATTATTTTCTCCACCATTCTCTTTTTTCACTTTAAATTTATTTTCTCTCTCACACACAATGGCCTGTTAAGTATTTGATCTTTGCAGACAGTGCATCAATATGATTCCTATCTAGGCAGAAAAAACGTTAGAAACTTTAATTTTAGAGAAAGTTCAAAGATTTCAGAACAAATCCATAGAACTCTAAAATTTTTTGAGTGAGAATTGAACTAACACAAGTGAAAATACACACTCAAAAAACAAAAATCGAACCAAATTAAAAAAACAGGGGAAAATTTTTTGATTATTTTCTCTGAATATACTTTTTCGGCAAAAAAGAAAATAATAATAATAATATACAACATATATGGACAACCCATGACCACAAAGATTATTTAGAAGTATATTAGATTAGGATTGTGTTATATTTTAAAAGAATTATTGAGTTTGATAGAATTGAAAGATTTCCTAACATTTTTATAGATTCCACTAGAATTCTACATAGAGTTTTATGGAATTGATGAGATTTTTTTTATATAGATTTTGATTGATTTTGATGAGATTACAGTGATTTTTATATATCTAATCAAAATTAATTTCAGGACTTAATTGAACAAATTAAAAGGTTTTGAGGCTCAATTGAAAAACTGAAAAAAAATGAGAGATCAAAAGTAAATGCGTCATCTTATCCAAAATCTTTTTTTTTCTTCATTAAAATCTTAATCTTTTTTTTTTCCTTCATTAAAAATCTTAATGCAAGTGCAAGACTTGCAATGGCCTGGCGTCGATGGCCACCATCCTGTGTCTGCAGAACAGTCATGATGATGGTCGGGAAGAGCATACTTCTTATATATATATATATATAATATATATACTATATATATATATATATATATATATAATATACCGAAAATCAGCAACAACCGCTGCAAGGACCTACGCCAACTGCCATATATATATAACCGAAAATCAGCAACAACCGCTAGCAAGGACCTACGCCAACTGCCAGAGCTTGGGCAAGGAGGCGGTTTTATATTAATTTAAACCGATGCACGGCCCATCGCTTATGGCTCACAGAGCTTAGTGGTCCGGCCACAACAATGACAGATTGTATTATTCAGTTCTTTGACTATTTTAAAACTTTTTCAATTTTTTTATTTGATTAAATCATTATTTAATTGAAATCAACATATAAAAATTTAAAAAAATAATCAAATTAATTCTAAAAATTTGCAGCACTATTAATATTAATTTTTGTTAAAATATCAAATTCTCAGCACATGAATTAATTCGAAACTAATCTAATAATTAATACATTGTTTTACATCTTAAGGCATAGGAATGGAAGTGTTACAGGTATTTTAAGGTACCGGCTAAGCTCTAATCCGTTTAAAGAGGATATGAGTAGTTATAAAAGGATTTGGAACAGATATGGACAGTGAAATTACTACTCGTAACGGATATATATAGTAAAATTACTACCCATAATGTATATAGGTAGGGTACGTGTAAAGATATTTAGATACTTGCTACATTAAATAGGTTCGGTAGTGGGTACCAGTAGGTACCCTATCCATTATTAATAAAAAATGCATTTTAAATAAATTCGAATTTGAATAGTTTAAGATCTAAAAACATCTTACTCGTTTAAGAGATACTTTAAACGAGTTTTGGACAGATATGGATAGTAAAATTTAAAGTGATTTGAATATGGGTACTTAAATGAATATTTAAATGGGTTTAGGATGGATAGGAGTAGTAAAATTTTTAGATTGGAAAATATATTTATGAATGACTCTTTTATTCATACTTAGCACCTTAAAATCCAATAAAATCAATAATTTTATAAATATAAATCAGTAATTTTTAAATACTATCAAATTTATATATAGTTTTAAAAAATTATAATTGAATGGCATTAGATTTTTTATAAATTTTATAAGACTAATTTAAATACCATGAAATTTTAATAAATTTTAAAAAAATTTAAATTAAATACCATTAAAATTTTAAAATCTTTTAAAATATAATAAAATCTTAATCGAGCTCGCCCTTATTAAGTGAAGATTCCGCGACAATCGTTGGATTCGTAAGAGGAAGAGTTAATAGATTGACACCATTTAATAGCAGGGCTTATCTTCTTCGTTTACCTAAAGTTAGTTTTTTAAAGGAAAAAAAAAAAAAGATGAGAGATGAGTCATGAGAAATGAAAGATTGGATAGTTGTTGAAGGGGCAAAATGGTCATGTATGAGATTTGCTTTGTGATTTGATTTGATTTGAGAATTGATGAAAGTCACGTTGAAAGAGAGGCATGATGATTAAGGAGTGAGAGATAGCTGAGAGAGGAGAGAGAAAAATAATGACAAAGTGGAAAGTGGAAACAAAGAAGGTGGAGGAGATAAGGCTTAGCCGTTAAGAAAATTATTAAAAAAAATCCACGTGTTGCCACATTGCATTTCGGCCAACGAAACGTCCGAAAAACAGCAAAGCAATTTTTCTGTTTTGGGAATCAGAACTAAGGGATTTTAGTGTTACAAATTAAATTCGAGAAACATCAGTATGATAGTTGTTCCATTTAAAGACAAAGGGTGAAAATAAGTCGATTGTTTTAGAAGACCACTTGAACTTTATACAATATAGAGTAACGATTTTCAAAGGTTATTAATTTTAATAGGTAAAAAAATTAAACAACTAAAAACGTTTTTAAGCCTAAAAATAAGCAAAAATAATAATTAAAAAAAAAAAGCTAAGAATTGAAAACAAAGAAAAAAAACAAAGTCAAAAAGCCAAGAAATGAAAACAGAGAAAAAAAAAAAAGCAAAAAAGAAGAATGTTATTAGAGCATCTCTAATGCAACCATAGATTGTTCTAATTTATTTGCCATGTTTGAAAAATTGAAAGTTAAAAATAAAAATTTTCTCCAATGTTTTTATTTATTTAGTCTATGGATATGATGTGTCAAAAAAAAAAAAAAAAGAGAAGATCTGTTAGACCGCATAACTTAGCTATTTATTCCTTTTTTTTTATATGATGTTTTTATTTATTTTTTTTATTTTCCTTTTACGCCTTCTCTTTTAACACGATACTATTCTTTTAAGGCTAACTCATCTCCTATTTGTTATTTGTTATCCTAGCTTATAAAATCAATAAACCTTAGGAAAGAAGAAGATTTAATTAATGTTATTAGTTTATTGTTTTTAGTTATAGGTTTAATTTTAATCACATATAATTTAAAAAGTAAAATACACATCATCAGAAAATTCTGATATAATCATGATGCATTGAAAAGTCATTTTTAAAATTAACATCTATAAATACATATTCAGTCATATACATTCACAACTTATATTTATTAAGACATATCGGCCATAATCCATAATTCCATTAAAAATACTTTTATTAGCTATAATCCATAGTTGCATAGGAAATACTTATATCTTTTCAACCCGTAACAAGTTAACAGATGTTGCACCATGAACCACTGGACTATCCCTCCAATCCATTAAACAGGACAACCCTGTTTTATAGTAATATATATAGTAGTGTTATATTTAAATTTAAAAATAAGTCTTTAGTTATAGAAACAATAGTTGCAAAACAACCTCATGACTGTAGCTGATCAAAGTCTTTTATATATATATATAGGGAAGATATTTGCGGTAAAAGAAAAACAGGTGTATCTAGAAATGGAAATGGAGGGTGAAGGAGTAGGAGACATGTCAATATTACCAGAAAGTTGTGTGGCAAACGTCCTATCGTTTACCAGCCCACCGGACGCTTGCAGATTGTCTTTGATATCTACTATATTCAAGAAAGCTGCTGAATCCGACACCGTTTGGGAGAGATTCTTACCTACGGATTCTCAGGCAATTGTCTTCCGATCTTCTCAGTCTTCTCTGCTGAGGTCTCGGATTTCCAAGAAACAGCTATTTTTTAGCCTCTGCGATAATCCAATCCTCATCGATGATGGCAAAATGGTAAGGTCTTTTATTCTTAACTTTTATATATGAGATATTGTTTGGGATTAAACTTGTCTACTCTAGGACCAGTATATGGATCTAGCACTGATCAAAATCTCTAATCAGAAACACCTTGTTTCAATAAAAAATTATTCTTTATTGATTCGGGACATGATTGCAACATAGACGGAGTCTAGGCAAGTCAATCCTGTTTGTCTATTATGCACTGTAATTCTGTATTGCGTTGGTTGCATAGAGCTTTGGATTGGACAAATGGAGTGGAAAGAAATGTTATATGGTTGCTCCAAGGCTTCTCACAATTGCTTGGGGCGATTCTCCTCAATATTGGCAATGGGTCTCTGATCCCAACTCCAGGTTTGTCCTGTCTCATCGCTTTGTTTTGCTTCGATTGTTAATCTAAGCAAGTTCGGGTGTCAAGGATATCAAACAGGAAATGTTTTTAGGAGAAAGAATTGTTAGAATTATGATCAATAATTTTGATATTAAAAACCAATCTAATGAAAAAAACTAAATAGTAACTAAATGAAATATTACAAATATATTAATTTGTTAATTAAGTGTAGTCAGATCAATCCACTCATTCATTGACAATAAACAAAAAGTGGGAACCTCAAGTAGGAGCCTTTCCAAATACAAGGGTTTGCATGGTTGCAGATTTGCAGAGGTGGCAGAGGTTAGTGCTGTGGGTTGGTTTGATATAAAAGGAAAAATAAACATTAGCATGCTATCGCCAGCAACGTTATATAAAGCTTATCTTGTGTTCAAGTTAACATCAAGAGTTTCTGGCTTTGAAAATCGACCGATAGAAGCTTTAGTTGGACTTGTTGGGAGCGAAAGCTGTAAGCGCACTGTTTATTTGGACAATCGAAATGCAAGAAATAGAAACGATCACAATCATCCAAACAACAGAGGAGATGGATGGCTTGAAATTGAATTGGGTGAGTTCTTAAATAAGGGAGAAGATGATTATGGAGAGTTGGAAATGGGTGTGTTAGAGGTGAAACGTCTTTATTGGAAGGGTGGTCTCGTTGTTCAAGGGATAGAGATTAGGCCTAAGGAGGGTCAGTAAATAAGCAAAGACTAAATGTTCTGTGCATTTGAAAATTACCTACCTGCAGATTCCAATTCATAATGTTGAATTTTAATTATCCTATTTTAAAAAGGTCGCTTGTGATATGTGCATGTATGTGAGATATATATATGGGTTATTTTGATATGAATACATCATGTCTATAAAAAAGTTTTCAATTTTAAATTTTAAAACCTAGATTTTCTACTTCATAGAATAATATAAATTTAATTATTGGCCAGCTAATGTTCTCCAGCATTTCGATCGATCCTAGGAAGGAAGTCTGCAACCTGCCAATTGAAAGATCACTTTCTCAATATTCTCTAACCAGTTAATTCAACAGCATATATTTCAGAGCTTTCTCACAATCTATATGGAGCCAAACAGATGTTAAACATTTCACTTCATCTCAATGTTATTTTTCTTCCTTCTTTGCAATGCTGACGAGCCATTATCTTTTGAATTACAGTACATTTAGCAACAATTTTATAAATATATATATAGTAAATATATATATATATTAATATATATATATATATATATATATATAATATTTCAAAACACAAAAAAAAGAAATATTTACAAACACAAAAAAAGAAAAAATTTCGCTGCTGACCTCATGGTTGTACTTTAAAAGTTGCGATTTAAGAAGATGAAAGAGTATTAATTAATTTTTTTCTAATATTACAGTTATATGTGCTAAATACAATGACAATTTTATATAATTTTTTTAGAATCTGTCATATATCATAAACTTTAAACGACGGATAAAAATAAATGGAGAGAGTATTAAATTCTTCCTGGGAAGAGTAAAGCTTGAATAAGTTTATCCAACTATTCCTTCCTAAAAAACAAATGCAGCAGCAAGATTTTTATTTTTATTTTACTATTTTCTTGGTTTTCACGTTGGCCAATCAGAGCAAAGTTACATACTATGACTGGACATGTTTAAGGACTGATCCTATAGAACCTTCGTCTTTATTGGTCATTTTTTTTCACCATCTTCATGAGTCAGCTTTTGTTCATTCTTGCATGGGAGATAAAGATACTCAGGTGCAATTCAACATTTGACAGCCATTAATGGGCTCTTAACTATCATGCATTAAAGGGCTTGAAGTCCCACAAACTCGAAATTGGTCTAATGCGGAGAACCCAGATCCCGACTCTGCCTTCCGTCTATTTTATATTTTTAAACCAAGTTTTTCCTGTCGCTACGCTTCAGGATGGACAGTTGTTTGGGCGGGCCATTAGCGGAAAGACTGGTATAAAGAGTAGACAATATATCACTTTCAATTGTTCTACTCTCTATCGTTTTGCAGAATCCCACTGTCACTCTTCATCATTTACATTCGACATAATGAAATCGGGATGCCTCACTCCTATCAATGTACACACTTCCCTCCTTATGCCAATGCATTTCTCCCGTTCGACAAAATGCTTAGACGAATTACTATGGATACAAGCAACCTAGAAAGAGTTGAACTGATATAGTATAAGGGCCGCGCGAACGCAGGCCCCTACTACTACAAATTATGACGTAGGCTCTCCCAACTTGGGGAGACCTTAGACCAGCACCCCTCCCAAGTGCAATAGAGGTCACTTATCTAGACCATGGGCCTTATTGATCGCCCATTGATCCCGTCCAGGTAAGTATGTTCACAAGGCTTTTGCTCCTCCTATTTATATGCACATGACCTGCCTCCCCCTTTGTGAAGTCACGATGTGGGATATTGTTCAAGCGCAAAGAAGAAAATTCAAGCGAGCCAAGGTCACTGCAGGAAACTTAACAGTAGGCATGGCCAAATCACGGTTCATGGAACCGGAACCGCCGGTTCGAACCGGTTCCGAACCAGAACCGGAACCGGTGCGAACCGGAACCGGGAAGAACCGAACGGTGCGAACCGGAAACGGGGACGAACCGGAACCAGGAAAAGATTCCGGTTCCGGTTCGATTCCCAGAATATTCTGGAACCAAGAACCGGCCGGTTCCCAGAAAACTCTCGGCCGGATGGGTTGGAACCGCCGGTTCTCCGGCCGGTTGAACCGCCAGTTTCGAAAACCGGTTCGAACCGGCGTGTTCTAGCCGTTGTAACTGTCAGATTTTGATTTTTTTTTTTTTTTTTTTTTTTGTAAATTTTGTTGTAAAATCTCTTAATTACCCCTCCCAACGGCTATAAACGGTCTATATACGGCTACATAACGGCTAGTTTCAAGGGTATTTTTAGAAAAATGAATTTTTGGATTTATTATAAATACCTCATTTTATTTACAAATTCATTACAAAAACATCTCAACTCTCTCTACAATATACTACACTCTCTACTTACTCTCTCTACCATATACTACACTCTACTCTATATTAATCATTTATTCTTCTCTACTCTACTCTATATTCTTACCATGCAAATTTTCGGGTACGCTTCTAACCTTCTTTATTTATATATTCTGAAAAAATACAAAAAGAAGAATTAGCAAAAATGATTTCTATGGAACATTTATCTTTTAGTTTTGGTGAAAAAGTAGGTTTGGGAAAAATTGGAGGAATCCACTAAATTTCCTGACAAACGACATCTATAATATAATTCCCCGGAGCCAATTTAATTTTGAGGGGTTTCCAAATGAAAGTTTGGATATTCCAACTAGAATCGAATTTAATGGAGCAATTTCAAAGAAGATGAAGAACAAGAGCAAGAGCAAACGAGCAAAAAATTTTACAAAGAGCAAGAATAGTTCCGACATATCCCTATTCATTCACAAAATTCAAAGGTGAGAATGTACGATGTAATTTGCAAATTATTGTGGAAATCTTATAAATTTTAACACAAGCGGGCGGCTATGGTCATTTTGGAGCATTTGGAGCAAACATCCAACAAAAATAGAGTTGATCGGTCCCTCCAACAACAAAATTTTCCCGGGTACGCTTCTAACCTCTTTATTTAAATATTCTGATAAAATACAAAAAAGAGAATTAAGCGCAAAAATGATTTTTAGCAAAAATGATTTCTATGGAACATTTATCTTTTAGTTTTGGTGAAAAAGTAGGTTTTAATCAATATTGTCAAAAAGCTTTAAATCCTTCTATTAAAAGAGTGCCAAGAAATACTGTAAAACGAACCATTATTTCTTTATATATAAAAAAAAAGAGTTAGAGATTTTATTTTCTGAAATGAAAATTCGCATTTCAATTTGTTGTGATATTTGGAATGATAATTGGCAAATGCATTCTTATATGGGTATTACATGTCATTGGATTGATGATGATTGGAAAATTCAAACAAGAATTATTGCATTTCGTGCTTTTGATGATAAACATACTGCAAATAATATTTATAGAATAGTTGTTTCAATTTTAGATGAATATAAGTTGACAAAAAGTTGACAAAAAAAATTTTTTCAAATTTCCATTTGATAATTGCTTCTGCCAATACTAGATCAATTATTGAACTTAAAAAAATTTGTGAACCAAATATTGGGTGGTAAATTTTTCATATAAGATGTGCCAATGCCATGTTTATAAATTTATTTGTACAAGAAGGTTTAAAATTTCTTGATTCTTTTTATTTCTCTCCAATTAAAAGGTCTATTTCCATATTTATGGACACAATTCCCCAAGTGATGAAAGAAGTTGGGCTAAATTTTGTAAAGAAAAATAATAAAAGACAACGTGTTCCAAGGGATGTCCAGACTTCGTTGGAATTCAACATATGAATTACTAAAAACGAGTCCTTTTTCTTATAAAGAATTATTATGCTTTTTTTTTGTTACTAATAATCATTGAGGATATTAATTTATATCCACAAAATTGGGAATGTTTTTTGTACAAAAATTTTAGATATTTTAAAAATTTTTAATGATGCTACCTATAAATTTAGTGGGGTTTATTATCCCACATCTCATTTATTTTTACCTGTGTATTAATATTGTTAATGCACTCCAAGAATTTCAAAATGATGATTTATTAAAAGATTGTATTTTTTCAATGAAAAAAAAATGGTTATCTTATTTTAAAAATATAGCACCCCTTTATCTTGTTGCTATTATATTTGATCCTAGATGTAGAATGGATGTTTTATGTGATTATTTGACTATTTATTATGAAGTATTGAATCTTGATGTAGAAGATAATGTTAATATAAATGTAGTAGAAGATAATGTTAATATAAATGTAGTAATGCATGAAGTTAAACAAAATATTATGCAATTATATAATGAATTTGTTCAAGTTTCTAGTTCATCTACTTTTATCTACTTCTTCTAATTCTTCTCAATTCAATAATCAAACATTCCCAACTGAAAGGGTAAGTGTTGGTGTTGCTGAACGTACATTACTACAAAGACAAAAAAGACCTAGGGAATCTGGTTCTTTTTTTGAATTTGATAATTATCTTACCACTTCTTTTGAGTTTGGTGCTAGTTTTGCAGATAATAACTTTCCAATTTTAGATTGGTTGAGTCGTCATGCCAATACATTCCCAACCCTTTCACTAATTGCAAAACAAGTTTTAGCAGCTCCAGTCTCCATTGTTGCGGTTGAACAAGCTTTTAATAAAGGAGGAAAACATACTTGATGAAACTCGATCTCGTATGACACCCAATTCACTAGAAGAACAATCATGCATGGATGATTGGAGCTGTAACATCCTCTTGAGTTGAGTTGGGTTAAACCAAACCTGATTTGGATTGAATGAGAGTAAGTGGACTTATTTGCATGACAAGTTTAGGACCTGCTTGCATGAGGACATACAGCTTGGGTATTTAGTTGTAACCATTAATAATTGAGCTACGTGGGCTTTGATTTCTCTAAACCCCAAGAGGATACGTAAGGCAACTTAATTTTTTTTTAAAATTTAAAAAAATTAAGTTCAAGCCCATTTTTTTTTAAATTATGTTCAAAACATTAAAAAATTCAGTTGAATTTTAAAAAAAAAAAAAATTATGTTCAACTGTTTAAGTCTTAAAAAATAAATGGATATTCAGTATATTTTAAAATTTTTTAAGTGTATTTTTTAATTTTTTAATGTTCCAAAATTTTTTTTTAACCCGTCTCAAAAAATTTAAATTTTTTTATTCTATTTTTTAAATTTTTTTATGTTGAATTATTTTTTTTTTTACAACCGTTCTTCAAGATTTAAAATTTTTTAGGTTGTTTTTTCAATTTTTTTTTTTATGTTCCAAAAAAGAAATTTTTTTTTAAAATTTTTTAGGTGTATTTTTAATTTTTAAGTTCAAAAAAAATTTTTTTTAACCTTTTCAAATTTTTAAAAATGTTAAAATTTATGCGATTCCGCCGGAAAACACGATCGGATGTCGGTTTTTGTAATCGGATCGGAACCGGAACCGGACCGGACGGTTCAAACCGAACCGGAACCGGTTCCTGTACGGTTCGGTTCGCGGTTCCACGAAAATCTGGAACCCGGAACCGGTCCTGTACGGTTCGGTTCCGGTTCCAGAAAATCTGGAACCGGAACCGCCGGTTCCGGAACCGGAACCGTGGCCAAGCCTACTTAACAGGACGTGTTTCGGTTGTTATTGCAAAGCACAGCTCAGAATTGCTGAGAGGAGACAAGTAATTTTTGGCAATCAAACAAGGCTCTAGTTCATGTTATACATCTCTCCCTTATAAATTATGCTAAAATGTGATGTTCATAAGCAAAATTTCAAAATCTCTATTTATACCCAATAAAAGAATAAAGATGAATTCACTCTTTTACCTTTATTTTTCTACATACTGGAATCAAATGTTCTCTTTGTTTGTGGAAACAAAATGCATGCATCGACTTCATAATTTTCATGTGCAAGTTTCAATGTAGTATTTTCATTAAGAGAAATCTCCTTGTTCATAATGTGCATTTTGCTTGCATTGCTTACTTGCTCATATTCAATATGACTTTAACTTTAATAGTTAACAAGTTCCTTTTTATTAAAATTAAGCTTATCACAAACAATTATTAAATTGTATAAGCAAATTTCACTAATAAGAGACTAATGATTACATTAGATTTTATTATATCTCATCTAAATGTAATTCTTTTTAGATTGAATCGTGTTTCGATACTTGGAATTATAGCATTTTCTTTTCTTGAAGATTCAAAATTTTTTTTTTAATTTATTACTTTTTAAACTGTGAATCTAAATTATGTTTATGCATTTGAGTGTAGGATTTTTTCTCTTGTCAACAATTAAATTGCCATTTCTTATTTTACACCTTATTTAGATAACTATAGCAAATAATTATTGAGTTTGAAAATATTTATTTATTTATTTATTTATTAGGAGGAAGACTTTCAATATTTGGGAGTCTAAAATTCCAATCCGAATTTTAACGGAATGGATGAGAAATAAAATTTTAAGTGTATATTGAATTAGGATTGTATTAAATTTTAAAAGAATTATTGAGTTTGATAGAATTGAAGGATTTTCTAAGATTTCCACATATTTCACTAGAATTCTACATAGAGTTTTATCGAATTGGTGAGACTTTTTTTAGAGATTTTGATTAACCTTAATGGAATCACAATGATTTTAATATATGCAATCAAAATTAATTTCAAGACCTAATTGAACAAATTAAAAGGTTTTAGAGTTAAATGAAAAACTGAAAACAATGAGGGACTAAAAAGCAAAATGCATCATCTTCTCCAAAATCTTTATTTT